ACGACCCCAGAGGATCCGTTGTTTTGGCTAGAGGGATATACGTTAAGGATATTGATGATCCAACCTTAATAGAGCTTCTGATCCTTCAGGAGGTCATCTAGTGCTGTCTGGATCTTGGTCTTTCGCAGGTTCGTTGAAGGGGATGCAAAGATGGTCATTGATAAGATAACCCTACCAGACGCGCGAGTTAGTTACTCTTGGATCATTATTGAGGGAGTCCTATGTTTGTTGGCGACGCTTCATAATGGTTTTGTTGTACGATTGGTAGGTCAAATTAGTAATAGGGTAGCCCATTTGGTGGCTAGAAAGACCATTTCTTTATATCCGATCTCGTGTCGTTTCTTTGATTTTTTGTCCTAAATTCATACCTGTAATATGATTAGCTTTTTTTTTTAATCAATATATATATATGATTAGCTTTTGTAAAAGAAAAAAATTCTCAATAGTCACCACAATCACTTATTGGGAAGAAAAGAGGTTTAGTAGAGACCATTGACTCAATCCAATTTGGGAAGGGTGATAATTATACAGTCACAATTAAAAAGGTTTGGGAGTGACCATTGAGCTTTTCCTTCTATAAACCAGAATCCTTATCATAAAAGGAAATAGTGAGAGTAAATAAACAATTTATCAAGAATAATCACACTCCCTTGACTCTTCTCCCCACTCGCTCCACTAAACCGCCACGTCATTCCACACCTCACGTGGAAACATCACCAACGGCCGGTGCATTACCCGCGAATAACCCGCGTGTGGCGGGCGGGAGGGAATACCACGCGCGAGAAAACCGTTAAGAGACCCCGTATACAAATAGTCACACACGATCGAGAGCCGACTCCTCGGTATCCTTGTCACGATTCAACTCTTCTTCCGTACACGCACAAAAAAACAAAAAACAAAGATTTCAATTCCCTTTCTCTTGGTTAAGACTTGTTTCCCATAAACCCTAGGAATTCAAACTCCGTTATGGACTCCATGGCGGCGAAGGAGCAGTTTCGTCGGCGGAGTCACAGCGATCGAGTACCGAGCGACTCCCATCACGGCCGCATTGATGATGATCACCGACACCATCCGCCGCCTACGAAGAAGGCGAAGCAGGAGCCCAGCGTCCCCGGGTGTTTCGTTCCGTCGGCTTTTCTTGCGCCGCTCCCGCAGCGGATGGTTCTCCCGCAGTCGTCAGAAGCGCCGCAGCGCGGCCGCGTTTCGAGTGGTGGTAGTAATAGTAATAGAAAGAAAGAGGCGGTGGTTTCTGGCGGCGGCGGCGGCGGGAGGAAGGAGGAGGGATCGATAGCGAAGGTCGACGACGGCATTTCGCCGGTGGCGCGCGGGTGCAGGCAGTTCTGGCGCGCTGGGGATTACGATGACGCCAATGGCATCGTTCCTGCCGCTCACTCTTCCGGCGGTTCGTCTCAATTTCACCATTTTTCTTTGGAGTTTTAGTTTAAGTCTTTGGAATTTAGTGTTTTTTTTTTTGCCTTCTTTAATTTCTTCAATTTTTTCCCCCTTCTATATTTATCATTTTATGCCTTTTTTTTCTTTTTCAAATTTTCGGTTTAATTCGTAATTTGTGGATGCAGTTGGATTGGATCATGTGAGAGTCCACCCAAAGTTCTTGCACTCTAATGCCACTAGTCATAAATGGGCGCTTGGAGGTAATCCTCATCCCATAATTAACTCCCTAATCACACTAACGAATTCCCCTAATTAGTAGTTAAAAGCAATTAAGTAACCGATTAACCTTACTGACTAATTTTCATCTTCCTTGTTTTTACCAGCATTTGCTGAACTTCTTGACAATGCTGTAGACGAGGTATAGTCTAATCAGCTGGCTAGTTTTTCCACTAATGAAAATCGTCCCCTTGCGTGCCGTCTTCCACCTTTTGGTCTGACTAACTCGTTTGTAAAATGTGCGTGTTGTGTGCATATAAACAGATTGTTCATGGTGCTACTTACGTCAACGTGGACCTCCTCAAGAACCCAAAAGATGGCTCCAAGATGCTTCTAGTCGAAGGTGAATATATGTGCTGGTTAATTCCGTGTTATTTAAGCTTAAGCTAATTAATCAAATTGTAAAATGTTAATTAATTATTGTTATATAAAAATGCAGATAACGGCGGTGGAATGACGCCGAACAATATCCGGCAATGCATGTCTTTGGGATATTCAGTTAAGAGCAAAAGTTCGAACACTATTGGCCAATGTGAGTTTAATGATGCGGGATCTTTTACAGTTGGGAATTGATTTCATCGTAATTAATTACTAATTGCAGCAGCTTAATTAAAAAAAAAATACAGATGGGAATGGGTTTAAGACGAGTACAATGAGACTGGGGTCAGATGTGATTGTGTTCACTCGCTGCCCAGCAGCTGACGGCCAAAGGTAAAATTTGTACATTCTGTTAAGTATTTTTTTTTTTTTACCGTGGTTAATTTTCCCCTTACGATGATTAGCTAATTCATCTTTGATTTGGTAGCGAAACGCGGAGCATTGGGCTGCTCTCGTACACCTTCTTGAGGTCGACGAAGAAGGAAGACACTGTTGTTCCCATGGTAATTAAGATTTAACATTCACTGTTTTTCCCCTTAATATGATTAATTACATTTACTAATGACGTTGACCCCCTTGCTGTAAAACACAATCCTCCAGATCGACTTTGTGCAAACAGGACAAGGTTGGAAGCCGTTGACAAGGTCAACTCCAGCGGATTGGAACATGAACCTTAGAACTGTACTCTTGTGGTCTCCTTTTGTGTCTGAAGAGGATCTCATTGGCCAGGTGAATTTGTGTTAACCTTTAATTGCGAGACTTTCCTTTATGGGAATTGCTTAATTGTGACATTATCATTGGTAAACTGTTGCTTTGTTTGGGTACTGTAGTTTGACTACCTGGGAAATAAAGGTACCAGAATCATAATCTATAACCTTTGGGAGGACGACGAAGGGAAGTTGGAGCTGGATTTCGAGGCTGATCAAGAGGTACCCAAATTCTTAGTTATGATCTAGACTCATCACCGTTCTTTTTTCTCGATTGCTGATATGATCCTTTGATTTTGGGGTGGCAGGACATTCAAATCAGAGGAGCCAACAGAGATGAGAAGAACATAGAGATGGCCAAGCAGTATCCCAACTCCAAACACTTCCTCACATACAGGCACTCATTGAGGGTAATTACATCGAATCTCTCCCTAGCTAAGTAATTAATCTCCTGATCATCATGGGTTAGTTAGCTGACACTATGTGTGTTGGCCAGAGCTATGCTGCAATTCTGTACCTGAAGCTCCCAACCGAGTTTCGAATCACGTTGCGTGGTTCAGAAGTCGAGCATCATGACATTGTTAAGGACATGATAGAACCCAAGAAGATTACTTACAAACCGCAGCAACTTGCGGATGGAGTGGTGAACAACAATGAGGTAACGCATAGACTGTTTTGGAGTGGTGTATTTAGGACTTAGGAGGGCGTTATTTGCACAGCCCCCCGATATGAAATTTGAACAAATGTCTGGTTTTGTATGCAGGTCAGCGCAGTGCTGAATATTGGGTTTGTGAAGGATGCTCGCCATCACATTGATGTGCAAGGGTTCAATGTCTACCACAAGAACCGGCTAATCAAGGTAATTGGTTTGAATAATTTGTTTTACTTCGCTATAAATTTGGTTGTTTCCATTTCATTTCCTTAAATCTGATGAAACTTCAACTCTTTCAGCCTTTCTGGAGGGTGTGGAATGCTGCAGGAAGTGATGGCCGTGGTGTCATAGGTTTGTTTTTTTTTGTCTCGTTCGATCATTCAACTGTTTCGTAATATGTAATGGTTGCTTCAAGATTTCAGATTAAACTTGATTACTGCTCAGGTGTTCTGGAAGCAAATTTCATTGAGCCAGCTCATGACAAACAAGGGTTTGAGCGCACAACACTACTTTTGAGACTGGAGGCCAGATTAAAAGACTACCAGAAACAGTTCTGGTATGCCAAAGTTTCAACCTTTGTTCACCTGTTCTCTTCCCAAGTTTCAGTCATTCATTTTACTGTGCTGCTGTAACTTTTTTTTTTTTTGGCACTAATCGTCAGGACAAGTAAGTGCCATGAGATTGGGTATGCTCAAAGGGTGAAACCGAAAACTACCACTCCATCGTCATCCAGCAAGAAAGCTAGTAACAGTATCATCAGCAAAAGCAGCCCTTCACCATCAATCCAGGATGGAAAGATTCTCCCCCTCACTGGGCCTAATCACAAGAGGAAACTGTCTAGTTTAAAGCATTCTGAACGAGCTTCACCAGAAGAGGAAGAGGGAACTGTAAAACATTCTTCGATTGCATTAAGAGATGAAGTTAGTTGTGAGTCAAAAGGTGAAGGAAAGTTCAGTCTGCTTCAAAGCTTAGCTGAAGAAAGAGTGAAGAGCAAGCAACTGGAAATGGAGCTTGGAGAGCAGACAAAACTGCTTGAGGTTGTTAAAAAGGAAGCACAAACTTCGATGAACAAGATTCAGGCCATCACTGAAAAGATTCAGCACGAGAAGGAGTGGAGGGATGCGGTTGAGCAGATTTTGAGGGAAAGTTTGAAGGTAATGTGTTACTAACAATTTTGATTCTGTGATAAAGATACTAAAACTATGTTGCTAAAATCTGTGTTTTCGGGCTGTTCTTGTTTTCTTCTTCAGAGTGCTGAGCAGACCATTGCTAGGTTGAAAGAGAGAGTTAGGCAGCTTGAAGAAGGGCAGGTGGTAGATGGATCTGGGTCTAGTTAAGCACAGTTTTAGTGAGGAATCCTCACCCATGTGGTTCTTGTAGAACTGCAGCTTGGAATAGATATGATGTACAGACTGATCAGGAGCTAATATTTTGTAAAAACATCTGAAAAGAACCTGACATATATCATGGACTTGCGTCTTATCTTGTTCTGTTATAATGTAAATTGGTATAGTCCAACTAATAGAAGAACAGTTTACTTTACCTTTCCTTCACATTCCTGTAAAGAGTTTGATAAATTTCGATTGGCTTGTAACTCATGGTACTGAAGTTCTAGATGCAGAGATTCTGCTGCCTAGATTTCCCTGAGATTTGGTCTCCTGTGGTTCTGAGACCAGGAAGGCTGTGCAGGTTGAAGCTGGGGACTTGATCAAACTGGCTTGACACATTGATTTAATAGATGAGCCATCATCGACACAGTCGATTGCTTCGACGTTTGGGATTTCAAGCTTGTAGACTCCATACTTGTTGGTTGTTCTGTGTTGACTGAGAAGTGGATCTGTTCTTCTGTTCTTGGCGAGCTTGTTCTCAATATGCATGGAACGTGAACCTTAGGCCCTGTTCACTTCCATTTTCGTTTCCTGTTTTCTGTTTTCATGTCATAAATTTGGCAAACGAAACGAGAAAACATGTTTACTTTTCATTCTGTTTTCTATTCGTTTCCAACTCTGAAAACAGAAAGTGGCAGCTTCCTACTGTTTTCGAAAACGAAAAAATGTCATTTTCACCTGTTTTCAACATCTGTTTTCTCAAAAACAGGAAACAGAAATGAAAGTAATCAGGGCCTTAGCATCTGATGATAATGGAAATGAAACCCATCCATAAGTTAGCATGACGTAGGTGGAGCACAATATCCATCAGTAACAGAGCTTTGTTTGGATGGCTAAGGTGGAGCACAATTCGCTCATCTGATAATCTCAACTTTTCAAGAATCACTATCCACTTTAAGAAAGAAGGCATGGGATCAATTTGGGTTCTGGTTCAACCGAAATGAAACAAACGAGTATTTATAGACCCAAAATCAATAATTAGTTGAGATTAAAACTAGTGTTTCATTGTCAAAATTCGAAGCCGAAATGATATATCAATTTAGGTTTTGCTTAACCGAAATTTCAACTAACCTTCACAGAAACTGGGGAAATAGAAGAATGTACAGAACTTACATCTCAGATTCTCTAAAATGGCTGCACAAGTTTAAACCTGCATTATAAGGAACAGTTTGTACTAATAATAACAACTACATAATTTTTACAAATGGTTTTGTGGTGTAGTTGGTTATTACGTCAGTCTAACCGGTTTGAATGGTTAACCGTTCAAACCGTTAATCGTCCGATCAGTTCAGTCATTGTGGTTTTTTAACTCTTTCGAGCCGGGCTGGTGGACGGGTCCCGGTTTTACCGGTCCGATCGAACGGCTCGGCTCGGTTTTGATAACACTGGATATGACCCTTCGGGTGGGTGGTTACACCCAAACCAACATATTGGTTCATTTTAAAATAATGAACCACTGTATCGGTTCGACCCATGGTAGTTGAATCGGTTGGTTCGCTCCAACCGCCATATTGGTTCGGTAAAGGCATTGGATGATCGATTTGAAGCTTCTGAAATGCCATTTTCTTTTGATTCTGTCTAAGGCTCTAAATAGACCAATTTTCTCCCGTCGTTTTGGTCTGATTGATTACTAAAACCAATTTGACCAATTACCAAAAGATTTAATCAAATCAACCGACCGAATCTAAGGCCTACTTCCTATTATATATAACCAATATGGTATTTCAAGAGTTTTCTTGGCTCCTTCCCCTTTCATTCCCATTCACACCATTCAAAATCCAAACAAGCCGCCACATGAATGGCGAATGCAAGTTTTGGAAACTATGCAAAAATTGTGTGACTCTCAACTAAGAATTAGTGGCATCGGGATAGGTGGGTTTCCCTTTCAACCTTCCGTAGTGAACATATATCGAGTATACTCACCAATCGGTAGATATGATATCTTTGAACCGTCAGTTTTTCTTGTATACTAAGACAACGTATGTCACACAACTAACTCTTATACATTCATTGGTTCTCATTGTTGTGTTCGTTTGTGCACAAGTGCGTTTAATAACGTCAATCTTTGCTGGTCAGACTATTGAACTTCACCGGTCTTAGAATGAGTGTATAGTTTAACATAGGCGTTTTCTAAGATAATGCTCCTCATCAATCATAAACGCCTCCATTTAATGGATTATACATTTTGGTTCATCCGGTGAGTTTTTTTGGGTATAATACACCAAAAACTCGTCTCTTTTCGATTCATTACACATCATGTGTGATTGATTTGATTTTATTGCCTTGCAATAATCATAACACATGCCAATGGTGTTGAAGTCCACCTCATTCACCTTAGAGTACTTGAAATTCACAAGAATCTCTTTCAATGTAGTGATATTTATAACTCAGTTTAGGGTTTTCATAAAACTCCTAAGTATTCACATCACTTCACTTTGGAATCACCCAAGCAACATTCCATGTTACTTCTCCCCAGTTTATCCCCCACATTCCAACTATTTCGCCATAGTTGTTGAAACCAACGTTTCCGGTTTGGGGAATGTTGTTCATATACTTGCATTGCATGTATATGAGTGACATCATTTTTTCTCTTTGGGAAGAGTGGATCGACATCTCTAAGAAATCTTCTTCGGATTTTTTAAACTAGCTCTCTGCCATAATGTCAACATATGCTAGATTTTATTCATAAGTTATACCTTTGGAGTGGTTAACTCCATGAGGTTTATGGACTTGCTCTTTCTCACTGGACACTTTCTTACTTTCAAGTATGACTTGTTTGTCTTATGGATAACTTTGTGTCCCGTTGTAGGGTTTTTGAGATAGTAGTTGAAACCAACTACACTTCTCCCCACAATTCTACCATTTGCCAAACATCATGGAATGATTTCATTTATTTTTCATGATTTTACTTACTGAACTTAATTATCAACCAATATATGTATCTAATTGTTTACCAATGGTATGACCTAAATAGATTAGTATACCACAAACAATTCATATCTTATTAAAAATATCAACTAATTACTTTTCAATGGTATTGGTCAAGGCAACATGAGATGTCACAAGTAATTCAGATGCATTCCATTAATGAAAATCCCATCTAATTGTTTACCAATAACATTTCATCTATGTAACTTAATATACCACTAGTACTTCAGATAAATTTTCTAAGTCAATCGTCTAATTACTTGTCAATGGTATAAACTTTATAAATATACAATAAGTAATTAAGACCTTAAGTTCATAAGACCATCTCAATTGAGCTTTCATGTCAAATTGTTTGCCAATGATATATGTCTATATATACCATAAACAATTCTGACAAATAGTTTCACAGCATAATCATACCTCAATTGTTTACCAATGGTATAATGTACATATATCACAAACAATTCTGACTATGATGATTTGTTATGATCACCAGTCTCTGGTAAGCTTATTCAATCCTTATAAGAATCAATTGTAGCTTCATTTTCCTTGCTCTCATGTCATAGAAAATATCAGGTCCCAAACCACATGCATGATAACAAATTACCGTGCCTTCACAAGCATCATATGTTTAAAATTGCTAGCGCTTGTGGCTTACTCGTAATGCAATCTTTTAGACGTGCATTAACCAAATTCCATCTCCAACACATTGGAGGTATACTCTTTCATAATTATGTTCAACTTACTTTGAACATAACCTTTGCAACCATTCTGACTTAGATAGACTTGACTCACAAGTAGGGCTGTTAATGAACCAAGCCGCTCATGAACGGCTCGGTGTGCGACTCGAGAAAAACTCGTTCGACACTCGATCCGTTTTAATCGAGCCGGCTCGCGAACAAGCTCGTTAACTAAACGAGCCGAACTCGAGACATACCATGTTCAGCTCGAAAGCTCGCGAACAAGCTCATTTAATGGTTTGACATAAAAAAAGGATTAGTATTCATGGATTTTATGTATTGAAATTGGGATAAATATTGTGTTTTACTTTGCTAGACTTTGTTACAGGTTAGAATGTAATTTTGTGCACAGTTCTAGGTCAATCTTGAGCTATCATGAACATTTTATGAGCTGAACTCAAATTTGGGCTCGTTAAGCTTATTTGACGAGCCGAGCTCGAGCTTTCATTTTCATAAACGAGCCGAGCTCGAGCTTGCATATTAAAGCTCGTGACGAACACGAGCCGAGCTCGAGCCTGGAAATATATTAACGAGCCGAGCCCGAACTATGGCAAAGCTCGGCTCGGCTCGGCTCATTAACAACCCTACTCACAAGTCCCCACAAGCCTCTCATCATAGGTTTCAGACACCTATTGTTGTTCATATTTCCTAACCGTATATCTAAACAACATCCAAACTGCATCATTGTCCACGAATGGCTATCTTAAATTTACTCCATTCATAATATGTGGGACACGTTAGCATATCAAGGTATAGGTTCTTCTATCCTCTCATGCAACGCTTTGAATGAAAATATATCAATATTAAATTGACACACTTATCATTCAACCATTTCCCATAAATGAATTAGACTAAGGCGATGAATGCATTAAAACTTGGTGACCGATCACATTTTAGAAAATATGACTACATTGTTTATCATTATGTAAATATATAAATTACATAAATATATCACCATGGGTCAAACTCCATGTCTCGGGAACACTTCCCACCATTTTGTTTCATTCAGTACAAAGTCACAACACAAACAACTTGATTACTTGAATCAAAATGTTGTATTTTTCAAGTACTTGAATTATGAGTTCGTTTCCATCTCAACTACTACAAAAATATTTGGTATCATTAACCAAACCAAGTTGGTTCATCATTCATCAAGCTGGTTCCCAGTCATCGTCCGTTTCCAACGATTGTCGGATGCCATTGTTCTTTGCTCTTCGGGAACAACCAGTAAAGAGAACAAGTTTCAACCAAACTTGATACCAATTATATATGCATACAATAAGCAAATCATACATACACACATACATATATTACAGGAACTGATTGTTCCTTCCCACACGATTAATCATGCATGGACATGAATGATGAGTAATCAGCAATTAGTGAAATTCCTATCACTAAACCAAGGATTTTATATATCAAACAAATACATTCCAGTAGGTAGAAAATAAGGACATGTAAGTTCCTGCCTCTTCTTTCCCCCCCTTTCCTTTTGGCAGCTACTTCTAATAAGTGGGTAGTTGTGGCTTGTGGGGACTTCAAATGCAGTAATTTCCAGACTTGAAATGCTAATAATAGTTTCTCTCAGTCTCATGTATAATATGGACACCATATAATGCAGAGATGCATATTCTGTGTGCAATCTGATCACACAACTAGCAAAGTCGGGATTTTTGAAAAGTCAGGTTTGCTTTTGTATTGTGTAGCTGGAAAATAGAAGTAATCTGTGAACTTCTTGTCCCTTATTAAAAAAAAAAAATTGGTCGAGAGATTTAGGCTTATGCTTTTAGAAGGCGACATATTGAGGTTAGGTCTGTGAAGAGAAGAAGCATCAAGATTTTGCTAGTGATATGCAATGGAGTTTGAAGAGAAGAACAAGTGAAGCTTCCTCTCACTTGACCTGTGTGTTGATCAATAGCTCAGGAGAAATGGCGACGCTTTCATCCAAGTGGTATACCATTATTTCCACATATGAAAAGCCATTGTATGCAGCCTTGTTACGAGAATCAAGCCATTGTAACTATTGGCCTCAATCTGGGCTTGGATATTTTATTATCTAGTATTTTATTGTTAATTGTCTTTATTATTGCTTTCATTGTTTGCGTAGGATTCGGTTTATTGTTTAGGAGTTTTATATTATTTCCTTGTAGGTTGGGTTTCATGTTTTGGTTAGGAAAAAAGAGAAGCGCTGGCCTAGTAGGAAGAGGATTGGGATTTTGGGTTTTCCTAGCCTATAAATATATACTCATTCTGTAGTTTAATGTCACGTTGAAGATTGGAATCCAATAGTAGTTATAGTTATCTTCGTTCCTCTGAATATTCTCTTCGTTCTAACTCTCTTTTTGACAAATATCTTTGAACATCGTCGATGCTAGTTACGTAAAGGTTCTCACCAGATAAATACACGTAACAATTGGTATCAGAGGCTGGTTGCTCTACGACTAACGTGATTCAGGAAGATGGGGCCAAAGAAGGCTACGCAAGCAACGACGACCTCCGATCAACCTCCGATCGACGAGGAGCTCCTCCAAGGTCTCCTTCACGCGCAGCAAGGCGCCACCAGGCGAATTGACGAGATCCGCCGACGACAGCAGGGAGTCGAGGAGGGAGTCCTGCAGATTGCGACCACCGTGGCGCAACTTCAGACATCAATGACACAAAAATTCCAGGATGCAATGGCGCAACAACATACGACCTTGTTGGAGATGATGAGGCAACTCATCGCAACCTCCGGCTAAGGGAAGGCAATGTCGAGCTCGTCTCCAACGCAGCGTTCGATCGCTGACATATCGACGGGGGAGAAGCTCAAAGGGGTGATGGAGGACGAGGAGGTCACGACAGTTAAGCTCTTCGCGAAGCCGCACGCGATCGACGATTGGGGACGCACTGCAAACCACGGCAGTCGCAACGGCGACGCGGTTAACGAGGACTGGGGAGGCACCGATCGTCGCGATCGGGCCGAAGTGGGGAGTTCTCGCGACCGATGCGGGAACGACACTGAGAAAGGAAGACGGAGGAGGCGGGAAGACGATGACGCCGCGAGTATCTTTTCCTCCGGGCTTCATCGGCGGCGACACAAGCCCAGTCAGCTTCGGGCTGGGACTCGTCGGGGGAGGGGTTCTCTGCAGCAGGCCGGAAGTAGCAGCGGGGGCAGGCCTCGACGCATTTGGGGCAGGGGCGAAGCCGCCTCTGTGGTCTGGGCTCTGGGTGCACGACGACGCTGGGCCGGGCGCGTGGTCCACCATGGGACCAACAGCGGAGCGGGGCAGATAGAGGCCGAACGGGCCGAGCGGAGCGGGAGGCCCAGGAGGACTTGTCGGGCCAGGAGGACTGGAGACCAGGCGGGTTCGGATGGCCGAACAGGTTGGGAGGAGCGCACGGGCCAGGAGGAATTGGGCTAGAAGGGCCGGGTGGGCTGGATTGACGGATTGGGCCAGGGGGCGAACAAGGCCCAACGGAAAGAAGAGGCGGGCCGAGGAATCGTGGGCCGAATTAACCATGAAATACAATATCATAACCAAACTGACCAAACTAATAAAACAACAAATTAACCAAACCAATTACATGAGAAAAATATATCATGTTAATACATCAATCTATAATTTATATCATGAATAAAACATAACGATCAATACATCAACCTTAACATAACTGTATGCAACTAATACAATTATTTACCGTTAATAAAAGTAGCCACTAAACAAAAATGTATGTCAATTGTATGAAGTTATTGAATTGGATGTTTATGAGTGAATACTCTTAGTTTCTTAGCAATTATCAAAGGATGAAAAGGTCTTCCCTTTCAGGTTTTCATCCAACATAATGTATGAGTTTTATCTGAATTAGGTGCTCATATGTGTTGTCTACACTTGACTAGATACCACTACAACTCAATCTCGATTATAGGCCAAGTGTAACCTATAACCGGGTGTGGCACAGAGTAAGTATTTCAAATATCAACCAGGCGATCTATATAACCTTACTTGTCTACAAATTATCTAGCAATCAAACTTTTGTTAAAGCTAATAAACCAGGGTAAATACAATATAATAGCCAAACCTTTTCAATCAAAACAAATGGATTGTCAAACCGTTAACTTTCCATCCAATTGACCGTCAGTTGAATCTGACGTGCAATTCAATTGTTGAGTTGGAAAAATCTGGATGATGTGGCAAAAAGGTATTCGTTTGATTGTACTTTATTGTAACTTAATAATCTTTACTTTATCATTTATTAATTTTTAAAACAAGAATATAAAAAAACTCATCACATCTGAAATCCCTAATCTCCTCGTCGCCTCCATCCTGCCGTCCAGAGCTGGCGGGATCCTCCAACTTTCCGTTCACCCTCAAATTCCGTAATGCGCAGCGCGGACTCACCATCGACTTCTCTTCTCTCCTCTCTTCCTCCAGGTCCAAATGTGCCTCCTCCCTCTATCCCCCACCCTACCGTCGCCTCTTTCGGCAGGGTCTTCATGTCCATCGAATGGATGCCCGGCCAGCCCCGACCCTCCCACCTCGACGGCTCCACCCCCGGGTACGTGAAATCGAAACCCAACATAAAGATTTTAGTTTGAATAACATCTAATGAGCTCGAGCACACAGATCTTCTTGACCTGGCGTTAGTACTTGTCGTAGGGGCAGAAGGCCAGGTCGCGCTCTAGCCTAAGAAGAAGATGTTGTCGATGGTGAGGCGGGGCGGTCGGCGAAAATGACGTCCTGGTCGCGCGTGATCTCTTCGGCGGTCTTGGTACAGGAGACGACGAGGGTCGATCGGGATGGTGCCAAAGCGGAGGAGCATGAGGGGGGCTGTACTTGTCAGCGAGCGAGTTTAGGTTGCGGTACGGAACGACGCCAACCTGGTGGAGGTTTCCGATCGCGGGAGGGTCGGCGGGGCTAGAGGGAGGTTGAGTTTCCACTTTTCCCTCTCAAATTTTACCAACCCCTCCCCATTTTATCTCAAATACCCATATTTGAGACCCACTTTTTCATGGGTTGGGGGGTAAACTTCCACACAAATTTTCAAATACCCATTTTTAGATGTGGGTTGCAATTAGTGTAAAGCATCATCGGGCTTATGTCGTAAGGTAAAAGATGCACCATTATTTACCATCATCATGTTACCAGTTACCGCTTTAGAACGACTAGCATGTCTACTAGTAAATTCTTCTGAAGTGTTGAGCATGTTTTGTCATCCTAAATGATCTTTACAAACACACGAGTGCAAATTTTAGACAATGAACAACATATTTAGAAATTAATTTGCTACTATTCTGGATAAAATAGAAATTTTATGAGCCAAATTGGAACGCAATGAAAAGATAAAAGGATTAGCAATGAAACACTAAAAAGTACAACAGAGTGGGGTAGGAAAAAAATGAAAAATAAAAAACAGTATTAATGTTAAATTAGTACATGATTATACTCAACAAAATTTGTTTTTGTTTTCTTCTTCTAATACTTACAATCACAGGGTCAGTTAATCACATTCAAAACACCAAAACCCACAAAATACACAATTAAAATTTTTTAAAGAAATTAAAAAAATCACTCATATTTTCTTCCTGAAAAATGGCGCCAACCCTATGTTCATCATCACATTTTACATTTTCATAACTCATCTTTAATAATAAGTATTCTCAATTTCGCCGCTCCATTTTCTCGTCCTCACTCATGTCTTCTTCCTCGCCATGGAGGTCGGGTTCCCATCAAACAACCCTTCAATCAAGTTTTCAATATCCTCTGGCTGATACTTTATATACTTTTCTGTCTGCCTCCCATGCGTCAAGCATTGTTGAAACCTTCCTAAGAACGATCTGTATGCCGGAATAACCACCGCTGACACTGACACCCGCAACTCTGACTGCATCTGTTCATCGCTCACAACCCATGTGCTTTGGGTTTTGTGTATATCCTCGATTGCATTGTTAAACATTTTGAACCTCTCCTTAACCACCGCCTTTGCCATTTTTCCATTCACCTGAATCCCGTCGTGCCTTAAACATTGCAAAACTCTGCCCCAAGTCTCTCTAGTATACCCTTTATGGTATTTTCTCAGATCAGACGACCGCCGTCGACACCACGTCACTCCCATCATGTCATGAATCTCCGTCGAACTCTTAATCTTTTGTAAGATGTACCTATGTTAAGGATCGAGATATAATTCAAGCTCTTAATAATTTACTGCATACATAAGAATAAGCATACTGATACTTTGGCATATAAAATGCTTACTCAAAATTAAACATTACCTGCCATTATTCATGAGAAAAATGTTCCTCAATGCTGGATCTTTGTACAAATTCGACTTCATCTCCAAATTTTCATCAAGGAGATCCATAACTGTGTTTAGTTGAATAGAAAATGGTGAAGTTTTTGGCGTGCCATCCTCATTCGCTCCCCCGACGGATCCAGATCCAGATTTGGACCCAGAGTCGTCAGATTTGGAAGATGATGAATCCCAATTTTCTCCTTCGGTTTTTTGCTTTTGTAAAAACACTTGCTCGAGGGTGTCTTTATACTCACATGCGTACTTGAGATAATTCATGGTGTATCGTGTCAAAGGGTGGACTGCACCGCTGGGGACTGGAGTTCGGCTGACATCACGACGGATTGAGTTTTCGAGATCGCAAAACATGGATACGGCAGCTTGCCCTAAGCGAATTATGGTATCGTAGATCTCGGATTTGACTATGGGAGAGAGGTTCTCGATCTCTGATCCGAGATCTCGTAGAGTTTCGTAGATGTCAAGGAACTTGAAGAGCTTCTCGGCAGAGCACTTGGTAAGGGTGATCGCATTAGCAAAATTGAAGAATCGGTCAATTACGTTGGAAGCTAAGTCACTAAAGATCTCTGTGTAGATGGAAGGGTGGTTTTGGAAGACTGCGTTGCAGAGGTTTCTCTCGACGGAGAAGAGAACGGAAGAGCACCGACGGATGACGTCGATTGCGGCAGCAATTTCTCCCTCTAGGGTCTCCCAATCCATCTTGTTAATTTCCTCGGCACTGAGATTAACATGACCAAGTTTTTCTAATTTGTTGTTGAGAGCGATCCGCCGAACAGACCCGTATACCAAACAACATTCTGATTGGTAGCCAGAGGAGATCATCGCTGCGGCGATTTTACTCATGTTGTAGATCTCTTCCGGTTGGTACCCCGGGAAATCGTCCTCATCTGTGGAGTTTTCAGAATCAGATATCTGGTTGTTTGATTCGTGGCAATTCCGTGAGAAGGATGACTGTTTGGATGACATTGGAGGAGGAGGACCGGCGCCTGAGTCAGGCACACAGTTTCCGGTGGTGAACGAGGATGATCGCTTGAAGGAGTTGAGAACGGTGCGAAACTCACTATCGAGGAAGCACATAGCGAGGTGTTGGATCGTGCTAGCCCGGTTGAACGTGGCGACGAGGTCAGATTCAGCAGTGGAGAAGTCGCCAAGGATTTTGATCAGCTTTGATAAACGGTTGAGATGTGAAACAAGGGACGCGTCTTCTTTCTCGTCTTGGCCAAATTTGGAGTTCGATTTGTCATAATTGCTGATGATAGTCTCGACGTTTTTGAAGAGAGACTCGACGACATCGGGGACCGGTGGGGGATCTGACTTGGCTTCGTGAGATTGCGAAAGGACTTCAAGGAATTTGTCAACCTCATCCAAGGAGTCGAAGGAGTGTGACGGTGAGAAATCACCCATAGATGCGACACCGGATGTGGTAACAGGGGAATCGTGGACGGAGAGAGTTGGGATGTCACCATTACAGGTTCTGGAGAAGCTCCCAAAATTTTCAGGGAGGCGTTGCTCCATTGGTGAGGAAGGAGAAGGTAGAAATTCAGAGTACTACTCTGTTTACCTAGAATAGGAAGGAGAAAAAAAAGAGGACAAAGAAGAAGAGGAAGAAGGGGTCATTTACTTTTCATTTACCTTTTTTCATCCCCCTTCTCTCTATTGTGATTGGTTTTTTTTTACTTTTAATTTTTTACTTTGTTTTGTTTGTAGATGATGAGGCTAAATTTTGACTGGAGGAGAAGTTTGGGAGACGAAAGGAAGGAATTTTTTTTGGCCGAGGAATTCTCTGATGGTTGTGTGGAGGGGCTCTGACTTTTGACCAGTGACCTAGACGGAACGTAGCCGTTGCTTCTTTCTGGGGAGTTCATTTCGTGCCAAATTCCAATGACATCACTTGGGCTTCTCGTGAGGTAAATCCGAGGGTGGCCCATGCTAGACAACTCTAGCAAAGACCATATAAGTAGTTTTGTAAATTACATTCAAGCCTAATAGAAACGGCTAGCTAGCTGCAGGTTCATGTTAATGTGCTTTGTATTCGAGAGTTTAGAAAATGATGCTATGGGTGAGTTTATACAATCTGATTAATTAATATAATCGATATCATATAGAACATGAAGTGAATATATGATTAGAATCTCAGTAGTGGTTACAATTGTATCAACTTGTTTGTATGCGGATGAGTTAATTTGAGATCGTAATTTTTTTTATACAATGTACATTTTATCCTCCTAATATATAAAATACCCTTTCATCTTACTCCCATTTCGAAATTGATGTACTCCCGTTTATTGTAGCTAACGATAAACTAGCAATTCACTTTACACCTATTTTTCACCATCCTCTTCTATCATGATTGTCGTTTTCTTCCTTATATTTTTATTAGCAGTTAATCATTTCTCTGCAATATATAATTTGCTTAAGGAAATGTTAGCTAACCAAATATGTATATAATTTACTTAAGGAAATGCTAGCTAACCAGATTTGTTTACTTCTCTTTCTATTAGCAGTTACTTATTATATAATATGATAAAAAAATATAATATTCTTAAAAATAATAATTAATTGTAAATATAAAAATAATAAATATTTTTATATATAAGTATTTTTTTATTTTCTTTAGTCGTTTCTTTTTACTTTCATGCAGTTGTACAATTAGAGTGCATATCTTGGAATACTTTCTCACCTTTTTAATTCTCGTACTATTTTTTAATGGACAGTATCTTATTCATTTTAACTCTATATCTTAAATTTTTCGCACACAAAAACTCATTTTTTGTTAAATTTTATAACAAGATTCGTTTTATTTATATAAAAAATGCCATGTTAATATAACATGATTAGGTTGAAATTTCATATTGTTATTTGAGATACATAATGTCATATTAGCTTTAAAGTATGAGTTTGTAATTCATTTTTTATGTTATGCGAGATCACATCTATTTATTAAAACAATCAACGAGGCAGGATTTGTCTATCTTCACGAGAATTTAGTTAAAAGTTAAGAATATATATTTCGATTTTGTTTCATGGGGTTGTATTTATGATTTTTAAACTTGAAGTTGGATATATGGCCAATAGTTTTAGATATATAGAATGTAGAGCTTTATTTTTAATTTTGAGCTTAATACCACTACAACAACCAAACTATCAACAAAAAATTCCACTTGCATCCTATTTTACTAAATAATCCATTTCTATCCTATTGTATGGTACTTTTTAGTCATTTGATCATGGAGATTTCGCTGACCGTTAGAGAACCGGATGGTGGTCAAACCCACATAAACTATTGATGATGTGGCAGAAACATGACAAACATATAGATGCCGCATCATTGAAACATCAATTTTTTAGTTCACAAATTAATTAATATTAGAAGAATAATCCTCTTCCCCCTCCATCATCTTCCCCCGACCATTAACCTTCTTCGGCCGCAATTCCAATCTCCAGCAATCGCTTCTCTGTTCAGTCACTCCATTCCAATCCCTAGCAAGAACAAGGCAAACTTCTCACCACGGTGGCTCCACTAGCTCCGCCAGATCGAGCTCCCATATGAACAGTTGGGTATAAGGAAAAAATGCAAAAGAGAGGGAGAAGGCGATCTAACGAGAGAAATTTTCTTTTAGAGCTTGAGAGAGGCGGCTCGCATCCTCTCTTGGCCCTCCTAGTCATCATCTGCGTGGCCGTGACCAGTGCCAATTCACCTTTTTCTTCAACACCGGTGACATAACCATGTCAAAGAGTCTAATCAAATCCAAGAACGAAAAGAACACACAAGATTTTTTAACGTGGTATCGTCAATGAGGCACTAGTCCACGGAGAGGATCTCCCTCTCAGGTTTTATGCTTTTCTTATTCGTTAGTTTTTCTGTTCTGTTTACAACGATATATATGGTTTGCTAAAAAAAAACTAAACACAATTACGTAAAGGTACCAATACTTTAACACCCTCCCTCAAATTGATGTCGATTACTTAACATCAATTTGCACGAGAGATTAGGGCTGCAAACGAGCCGAGTCGAGTCGAGTTTTTGCTTAGCTTGAGCTCGGCTCGTTTATTAATTTTTCAGCTCGAGCTCGGCTCGAACTCGAATTTTGATAATCCAGCTCGAGCTCGAGCTCGGCTTGAATAAAAATAATCTAGCTCGAGCTCGACTCGGTAGAGCTCGATAAATGCTCATTAACATAGCTTGTCAAGCTGAGTACGAGCTCGGCTCAAGATGGGCTCGATTTAAAATCATTTTTGTTGGAAAAATGTATAAACATAAGAATTTAAATGATAGAAAGAACACTAGAAACTATAAATAACATCCAAATATCATACACATCTGTATTAGAAGACAATGTTCATGTTTAAGAGAGTAATTCATCCTTCCACAAGCTCAAAACAAGGTAGCTCGCGAGCTTAGCTTGACAAGCCACCGAATCAAGCTAGCTCGCGAGCTTATCAAGCTGAGCATGGTCTAGCTCAGGCTTGGCTCGTTAACTAACGAGTTGGCTCGCGAGCCGGCTTGTTAAATAACGAGTCGAGTGTCGAACGAGTTTTTTCCGATTCGAACGCCGAGTTGCTCGCGAGCGGCTTGGCTCATTTGCAGCCCTACGAGAGATACCAATGTCGGCTAAACTGACCGCCTTTGTGAGAATATCTGCAGTATGATCTTCAGTGGACAAATGACTAATCTGGATAACTCCTTCAACCACCAGTTGCCGTATGTAATGAACATGTACCTCTATGTGTTTTGTCCTGTCATGGAGAACAAGATTATTTGCAATTTGAATTGCACTAGTATTATCTCTATACAACTGCATTGGTTGTTTGCAATTGATTCCTAGTTCTTCGAACACCCTCTGCAGCCACACCATTTCCGAACTCACCTCTGACATTGACCTATACTCTACCTCTGTTGATGACTTCGAGACTTTATCGTGTTTCTTACAACGCCAAGACACGAAGGAACGACCCAACCGAATACACCATCCTGAAGTAGATCTTCTAGTATCCAAGCACCCTGCGTAATCTGCATCGGCAAAAGCTTCAATGATGGGTTCACCTTCTGCAGGAAACGAGAGTCCAATGTCTTATGTATACTTCAAGTAACGTAGTATCTGTAAACTGCATCCAGATGTTGAGTCTTGGCAGAACCCATAAACTGACTCACCACATGTACTGCATACGCAATGTCGGGTCTCGTATGTGTGAGATAGATCAAACTCCTTACTACGCTTCTGTAGAAAGTCTGGTCCTCCAACAAGTCACCACTCTCTCTACACAACTTCAAATTCTGTTCCATAGGTGTTGAACATGGCTTGCAGTCTTGATACCCTGAAGCAGTAAGAAGATCAGATATGTATTTCTTCTGGCACAAGAAGTAACCAGGTGCCGAATGTACTACTTCGAGTCCCAAGAAGTATAAAACAAGACCAAACTCTTTTAGATTGAATGTATCTCGTAGAGCTGCAGTTAAATCATTAATTCCATCCTGGTCACTCCTTGTAACAATAATAACACGACAATACCATCAACTGTCTTCCTGATGAACATGGACGAATCATTCTCAATATGAAGAAAGCCAGCCTGAACAATCGTTCCATGAAACTTTTCAAATCATGCGCGGGGTGCCTGCTTTAACCCGTACAAAGATCGTCGTAGTCTACACACCATTCCTTGTCCACCCTTAGTGTATCCCTCTAGGCACTCCATGAAAATTGTCTCATTCTGATCACCATGCAGGAAAGCATTTTTCACATCAAATTGAATGATATCCCACCCATGCATGGATGCTACAGCGAAAACACTGCAAACCGTTTGCATTTTCACCACTGGTGCAAACGTCTCGTCATAGACTATCACATACTCCTGTCTGAAGCCCTGTGCGACCACACGGGCCTTATATCTCTCGATAGAGCCATCTGGATTCATCTTAATGTTATAAACCCAACGACACACAATAATAGTCATCCACGGCATGCGGGGAACAATATCCCACGTATGATTCGCGTCCAAGGCGTCCATTTCTACCTTGATTGCAGCATCCCAGAAGGGGTTCCCTTTAGCAAAGCGATAGTGTGTGGGAATACTAACTAGTTCTGTGGAGAAACCCACGTAGTCGTGCATCCTAAGGGGCGGTTGTCCAAGATTTTGGCAATTTGATCTTCGGGGAGCTGGTAATGGCGGAGGAGATGGCAGTGAGGGCGGAGAATCGTTGCCAACGGAAGATGTCGAGCTGCTGTCACCTGAAGATGATGAGTTGTTGTTGTCAAGAAAAATAACATGGCATGATACTCGAATGCGGTGTTCAGTGGGATCATAGCAAAGATATCCTTTCTGCCGAGAACTATAACCTATAAACACACAACGAGTTGTTTTCATGTCAAGCTTATGACGTTCTTTCTTTGGTTTAAGAACAAAGCATAAAAACCAAAGACACGTAGAAAGGAGTAATATGGAAGACACCCATATAGACGTTGGAAAGGAGAATCACCATCCAAAACCGTCGTCGTCTGGCGGTTGAACAAGTATATGATTGTACTTACAGCCTCCACCCAGAATCCTTTTGATACCATCGAATGACGCAGAAGTGCTCGAGTAAGCTCAACAACGTGTCTATGCTTGCGTTCCACCAACCCGTTCTGCTGTGACACACCCGAACAAGACAGCTGAGAAAGAATTCTGTGTTGAGCATAAAATTCTTGTAA